AACCCTGAGTGTTTGAGTATTGAATAGTTTCTGAAGGGAAATTAAAAAGTAGAAATTCTCTCTAATAAATTGGAACTAAACAATGGGCACACAAGTAGACAGGGGGAAGTGAAATTCATTGGAAATCAAGCAGAGGAAGGAGGAAGAAGGGAGGGACAAAACCCCACCTAAAAGGTACAATAAACACTATTCGGGTGATGATCACATTTATAGCCCTGACTTAAGTCATCTAACAAAAACATTTGTATCCACTTAGTATTCTCAAAAAATAAAATCTTTGTAAATATAGGAAAAAAATAATAGGAATTGAAGCCTGAGATTTGAGAGTCAAAGGTGGATCATTGAGGAGAGAGTGTGAGATGATGGGTAGGTGGTTGATTGAGTCATGTGTCTTGGTTCATTTGTGCTGCTATAACAAAATACCTAAGACTGGGTAATTTATAAATAATAGAATTTATTTTTACAGTTCTGGAGGCTGAGAAGTATAAGATCATGGCATTGGCAGATGTGGAGTCTGGTGAAGCCTCACTCTGCTTATAAAATGTGGTTTGTTGCTACATTTTCATATATGGGTCAAAGGGATGAGTACTGTGTCCTCACATGGCAGAAGAGCTGAAAGGACCAGGCAATTTCTGAAGGCTCTTTTATATGAGAATTCATTTCATTTATGCAGGTATGGCCTTCATGGCTTAATCACTTCTCAAAAGGCCCCATCTCTTAATACTACCACCTTAATGTTTAGGTTTGAATATATGAAATTTGGAGGGACACAGGCATTCAAACCATGAGACTATTTATGCTAATTGGGACATATTATTTTCTATATTCCTAAATGGGGAGGCCTTATCCCCCAAACTTAGTTGTTAGAACAACTTATAACAAGCTGCTGAAATCTGCTTCTGATAGACCCTTCTGATATTCTTTCTAATAGATTGCTTATCCCAGTTAATCTGATGTTATAAGTGACAATCTATGGGTTTAATATAAAGGATTTTGGTTCAGTGAAACAGCATGTACCACAAATATACGTAGGAAGAGATGCCACAGGATCATCTCATCTCTCTCTCATTTTGTTTGCCAATTTATCTGCCTTCTCTATTCTTGTCAGTAACAATTTCAAGAGAGTATTCCCTTGGCCCTCTCTGTGTTGAAATTTTGTTCTTCATCTTCAATGATATCTCTGTGTATGACTTCTAAAACAAAACAACATTTTCAGTCTTAATCATTTTTATGATATTAAGTACACATTATGCTTGGAAATTTCACTTTGGATGAATTAATGTTCTCTAAAACCCAACATAATGAAAATTAAATACAAATACATGATCTCGTTCCCAATCTCTTCTTAATTCATGCATTTCTACAAACAATGATGCTATCTCCCAGGTACTAAGACTTGAACAACATAGTCAAGGTGCAAAAAAGTGTAAAAATGGAGGAAAAAATTATTTACCATCTCGCGTTTTTTTCTGGAATGCATTATTTTTCTTTATAAGGCTGAAATAATCTCATACATTATAATTTTTACATTATTTTATTCATATATTTTTCAACTTCAAAATTTCTATTTGATTTTTTAAAATTTCTTATAGCATTCTATTTGATTTTTAAAGTAGAAGTAGAAGTTCAATTTCTCATCTAGTCATATATCGTTTTTCTCTTTTCATTGAACTGTTTCTCTGCATTTTCTTAATGTTTGCTAAAAATCCTAACAAGAATTATTTTGAATTCTTTGTCTGACAGTTTGTGTACCTCTATTTCTTTAGGATCAGAATCTGTTGCTTTATTTTGTCCTTTGGTGAATTCATGTTTTCTTCACTGTTCTTAATCTATTGTGGCTATGCATTGATATCTATGCATTTGACAAAATAGATACGTATTCCAATCTTTGCAGATTGGTTTTTTCTCAGAAAGTCCTTCAGCAATCACCTTATACATACAGAGATTCTGGACAGGCCATCTGGTGTGGTTCACAAGGGGGCTTGTTCCTGGAGTCCTTGTGCTGACTGGTATGATTCCTGACATGGTTCCAAGGAGGAAGGCCTAGAACCAAGATCCACTTAGGTAGACTTGTTGATTGGGTCTTCTAGGGAGGGGCTGGAGTCCTACATCCTCATGTATTTGTCAGAATCCCATTCTTTCTGGGTCCAGCATGGCACTGGGACAGCAGTGGCTAAATAATTTGTTAAGGCTCTTAAAGCATACTGAGATATATTGTCAAATTTGTTTGCAGAAAGTTTGCCAATTGATAGTCTCACTAACATTTTATGAGAGTGCTTAAATATAAGAATTTCATAGCTTACCCTACTGCATCCTAAACATAAATGAATATACTTTATTACTTGCTGTTTTAATAGGCTTAACATAGAAGCCCAATATTGCTTTAATTTGCAATCATATGTTTATGAGCTATTTAGTCATTGCAGTATTGCAATTGCATTATAGATTAGTGGAAGAGATCACACAAATATGTTTCTATATTATGTAAAGTCCTAGTCTGGCCAAGGATGCAGAATTTATCAGAAGGAGTGGCTACAAAGAGGAGAAACAGATACATTGCATCTCTGTGCAACTTTCTCATTAATCTTCATCTTTTGTGGGGCTCAATGATAATTGTAGAATTTTTCCAGAGGTGAGAAAGAGGCAGAAAGAAGCAGGCTTATCATTTCACCAATTTCTTTTCATTTTATTGAGAGAGAGTCTCAGTATGTTGCTTTTGATAGAGTGCCATGACATCACAGCTCACAGCAAGCTCAAACTCTTGGGCTTAAGAAATTCTCTTGCCTCAGCCTCCCAAGTAGCTGGGACTACAGGCACCTGTCACAATGCCCAGCTATTTTTTATTGCAATTGTCATTGTTGTTTAGCAGGCCTAGGCTGGGTTTGAACTCACCAGCCTTGGTGTATGTGGCTGGCGCCCTAACTACTGAGCTATGGGTGCCAAGCCTCACCAATTTCTTTTATACTAAGGGTTACATCACCATGCCTAAAGAATCTATACCAAAAACTTTTCTGTACGATTATATAGACAGGCAGGCCAGGTGGCTCATGCCTATAATCTGGGAGGCCAGGGAGGGTGGATCACTTGAGTTCATGAGTTTGAGACTAGCCTGAGCAAGAGAAATACCCTGTCTGTAAAACATATTTGGGCATTGAGGCAGGTGCCTGTAGTCCCAGCTACAGGGGAGGCTGAAGCAAGAGAATTGCTTGAGCCTAAGAGTTTGAGGTTGCTGTGAGCGATGACACCACAGCACTCTACTGAGGGCAAGAAAGTGAGACTCTGCCTCAAAACAAACAGATTATGTAGACAAATATCCAAAACTGTAACCTTTTCAAGGAGGGATCAGTATCTAGCTAACCTTAAAAAACATCCCTATCTCTAGCTGCTGTTCAAAGACAGAATATTAGGTTTCAAAATTGTCCAGATTTACGCCATTTGCCCAGGTATCTAAGTTTTTTTATTATTTTGATTTTTTTAATAAAATGAGTTTATTAATCTTAAAAGATGAAAACTCATATTAATAGTTTGTTTGATATGATTGACTTATAGATGTTAAAATCTTTTGTAATAAAATCTTTCCTTGTGAATTCTTCTTTCTTTTATGCACAGAAAGCTTTTTGTCTAGTGTTAGTTATGGTTTTAGACAAGGTGTTTTTAAAGTTTGATTAAAATATTGACTCCAAAAGTAAGTCTCTCATTTATTTTGAGAAGTACCATAAGGAGTGGTATCAAATTTTATATATTCTAAAAATTATCCAAATAATTGTCCGTGATTTATTGGTTAAATATCATACCACTTTCATTGAGGTACTATTTAACTTGAGCTTTAAATATTATTTATTAAATATTTGAGAAATACTTTAATGAAATATTTTCTTACATAGAAAGGCTTATTTATAAAGCTTCTGTTCTATTCAAAGATATGACAGTCTCCTTTCTTTTCTTTTTTTTTCTTTGAGTTTTTTTTTAATTGTATTTTTTTTTAAATTTCTTATAGCGTAACTGTGTACATTAATACAATCATGGGATAGAGTGTGCTGTTTTCATATACATTTTGAAATACTCTCATCAAACTGATTAACATAACCTTCATGTCATTTTCTTAGTTATTGAGTTAAGACATTCATACTCTGCTTTTAGAAAGATTCACTTGTACCCTTGTAAGATAAACCATAGAGGTGACCCCACCAATCCCCCTCCCTCCACCCATCCATCTCTCTCACCTTCCCCTCCCCCCTTCCCATATTCTAAGGCTATAATTAGGTTATGACCTTCATATAAAAGCTATGAATTAGTTTCAAAGTAGGACTGTGTACATTGGATACTTTTTCTTCCATTCTTGAGATACTCTGCTAAGAAGAACATTTTCTAATTCCATCCATATAAACATGAAGGAGGTAAAGTCTCCATCTTTCTTTAGGGCTGCATAGTATTCCATGGTGTACATATACCACAATTTATTGATCCATTTGTGGGTCGATGGGCATTTAGGCTTCTTCCATGACCTAGCAATTATGAATTGGGCTGAAATAAACATTCTGATACAAATATATTTGTTGTAATTCGATTTTTGGTCTTCTGGATTCCTTTGAGTTTTTAACTTTCTGGTTTAATCATTAGTGTAATGGGATGAGATATTCCTCTCCTTTCATTGTTTATAATTCCTTCATGTATTATTATTTTATTTTATTTGCTATTTTTCTAAATAGAATTTAGAATAAAAATTCCATTAAAATACAAATTTCATTGATATTATTATTGCTTCTCTACTAAGGCACTGAGCTAGATGCTGGATGATGCGGGAAATAGACCAAAACCTTGGTTTTATCAAGATTTATAATTTAATCAGAAGGACAGGAAGTACAGTGATGAAGAAGTACATAAACTATAAATCAGAAAGTTCTATGAAACAAGCAATCAAGGTGTTTTGATGAAGAATAATGGGATTGCTTTTCTCACCAGGCGTCCTCCAGTGAATGACATCGTCTTTAAACCCTGCATGGCAATCCCTCACGCACTGCCATAATGCCCAGGGAAGACAGGGCGACCTGGAAGTCCAACTACTTCCTTAAGATCATACAACTTTTGGACGATTATCCAAAATGCTTCATTGTGGGAGCAGACAACTTCGGCTCCAAGCAGATGCAGCAGATCCATATGCCCCTTCGAGGGAAGGCTGTGGTGCTGAGGGGCAAGAACACCATGATGCTCAAGGCCATCCAAGGGCATCTGGAAAGCAACCCACCTCTGGAGAACTGTTGACTCATATCCGGGGAAATGTAGGCTTTGTGTTCACCAAGGAGGACCTCACTGAGATCAGGGACATGCTGCAGGCCAATAAGATGCTGGCTGCTGCCGGTGCTGGTGCCATTGCCCCATGTGAAGTCACCCTGCCAGCCCAGAACACTGGTCTGGGTTCAGAAAAGACCTCCTTCTTCCAGGCTTTAGGTATTACTACTAAAATCTCCAGGGGCACCATTGAAATCTTGAGTGATGTGCAGCTGATTAAAACTGGAGACAAAGTGGGAACCAGTGAAGGTACACTGCTGAACATGCTGAATATCTCCCCCTTCTCCTTTGGGCTGGTCATTCAGCAGGTGTTTGACAGTGGCAGCATCTACAACCCTGAAGTGCTTGACATTACAGAGGAAACTCTACCTTTTTGCTTCCTGGAGGGTGTCCGCAATGTTGCCAGTGTTTGTCTGCAGATTGGTTACCCGACTGTTGCATCAGTACCTCGTTCTATCATCAATGGTTATAAGAGAGTCCTGGCTTTGTCAGTGGAGACTGATTATACCTTCCCACTTGCTGAAAAGGTCAAGGCCTTCTTGGCTGATCCATCTGCCTTTGTGGCTGCTGCCCCTGTGGCTGCCACCACCACTGCTGCTCCTGCTGCCACTGCAGCCCCAGCCAAGGTTGACACCAAAGAAGAGTCAGAGGAGTCAGACGAGGATATGGGATTTGGTCTCTTTGACTAATCACCAAAAAGAGGAAACTCAGCCAGCTTTATTTTCAGAACAGGCAAATAAAGGCTTCTGTTAAAAATTAAAAAAAAATGAATAATGGGGTTGGACAGAAGGTGGGAAAGACCTACTTCAGAATGGTATCAACCTTTAATCTAGCAACTGACAAATGAGTGCATTCTGGCCTCATGAAGAGATGGAGGGAAAGTATTCTAGACATGGTATCAACAAAAACAATGGCATAAAGAGCAAATGAGCCCCGTATATTCAAGGAACAGACAGAAGAGGTAGGAGAAGTCAGCAAGGGTGAGGCATGCAGAACCTCATGGGCAATGACAAGAGCTTCGGAATTACTCTTTGGATTTAGCATTGGAATGCTATTAAGTTTTTTAACAAAAGTGTAGCAATTTACATTGTCATTAACATCTTGAAAAGATGAGTCTTAGATTGGCACTATAGGTAGAGTAGAAGAGAGCAGATAAATTAGGAGGTGATTTCTGGAATATCTAACATAAAATTTTAAGAAAGTAGATCTATTTAAAGTGTACTTTGGGGTAGAAGAAATGAAATGTGGTGATATATTGGAGGTAGAGAGAGAAGTCCATGATGATTTTCTTTGTTTGGTAAGTGAGTGGATAGAGGTACCATTTCTAGGGTTGGAATCTCTAGAGGTAGCATCCATTTTGGGTGGATAATAAGAGTTAAGTTTGAGATTCTGTGACACATCCAAATTAAAATGTCCAATGAGAAGTTGGCTGTAGAATAAGAGAGGGCAGGGCTGTGAGTATACATTTGGGACTTATTAGCATATAAAATAGCATGAAAAGCTTATGGAGCAAAAGAGGTATTTGAGGCTTAGAGAAAAATTTATATTGAGTTAATGTGCAAAAAGTTGGCATATTTTCAACTTCAAACTTATTATCTAGGAATATCTTATGTTCGTAGATTGTATTTTTTATATCTATGAATAAAATTTTATAGTTTATGCTATGTATATTTATGCATTTCTTATGACTGTGTTCCTATTTTAACTAGGCATATTATCTTTATTAAAGGATTTTTTTTCATTATAGTTTCCAGTTCTTATTTGTATATTCCAAAGCTATGTAACTTTCTACCTTTGTGGGATATTTACAATTTTTACAAACTTATAATTAAGCCTGAAAGTATTTCTTCCCACTTGCTTGGCTTTGGAGGTTGATAATCCAACCCACATCACATTCCACATTCAAACAAAAAATGTTCTGATCATTTCTAATAATCATACTATTGATTTTTATTTCTTGTTTTACTGAACTAACTTCCTCTTCAAGATTAAGATAAAATATTAATTTAAGTAAAAGATATTCTTATTTTAAAAGCAACTTAAGTTGAAACATCTTTCTTCAGTATGAAATGGGATGCTGTTTTAAGATGAATATGTGTGTATGTATGTGTATATGCATGTGTGTGACAATGTATATGAATTTTTGTCACAAAAACATAATTTGTCATGAATCTTTCATATTTTTTTGCTAGCATTTGACTTTATTTTAGATTTTCACATCTATATTAGTGAGTTATTTATATTTAGCTTTTGGGTGCTATTTTTTTTGTCAAGTGTTTATATGACAGTCATGGTAGTTTCATAAAATGAATTGGGTATATTGAGAGAGTTAGGCCTTTTATGTATTCTAAAATGTGTTACATGGCAAGGAGATAAATAATTCTTATATATTTAATAGGTATCACATATAAAACCTCTGAAGATTTTTGGACGGTTCATCCCTTCATTTTTAACTTTAAAAATATTACTTTTCTTGTGATTCTTCTAAGTAGCATATTACAGATATTGCTAACCTAATATTTATTTATTTGTTTTTGCCTCCCAATTGGGTGATTTAACCTATTTTCAGTTACTGTTTTAGACGGCATTTTCTCACTCTGTGTTTAGTCTTTTTTTAAAAAAGTGCTTCCCTTCACATCTCATTGCCTGTCTCCTTTTGTTCTTTCCCCGTCCATCCTTCCTCCTGCACTCCCTTCCTTCCTTCTTTCCCTCTTTTCTTTTCTTTTCTTTTCTTTTCTTTTTTTTTTTTTT